CAAGTCCCTGCAGTTTTCTTGGCAAGCCTTTTCAAAAGTGGTTTGCCGTTGCCTCCTTCCTAGGGCTGAGAGTGACTGGCCCAAGGTCACCCAGCTGACCTCATGCCTAAGATGGGCCTGATGCCTTAAACACTACACCAAACTGGATCAAATTAGTGTTATTTGTTCTCAGTTAATGAGATGTATATCATAGATGGGCCCCAGAAATAGCTCAGATGGCAAACAGAATAAGTCACTGTAACTTAAGTTTTAAGTGTAATAATATAATGCCTGTAAAATATAAATGCCGTTCTTAGAAAAAGTGAAATTTTTGTTTCTTCAAGATAGGATCCAAATTTGTTTATCTATCACATGTATAGACTGCCAAGTTGCTAAGGATTCCCAATCCTTTATGAAACAATATACAATAAAAAAAATAAGTATACTGTAAAAGAAAAGGTCCACAAACTAACAAAAATATAAAATTAAATTAAATTAAATTAACCAAACCAAACTATAATGAACCCAAAATGGAATCAAGGTCCAAATGTCTTCAAGATAACATTTAACCATTGGAAAAAAGTAGAGAGGAATTTACAACCACCATTTTAAGGCAATTGCTTTGTGTCCACATATTACTTTGAAGTACTTATATCTTCTTATAATATAGTTTAATTATATTCTGATGATCCTAGAACATATGGCTCAGAGAAATGTTAACATTTGCTGACAGTTTTGTTACTGCATTTTATTTTGAATGCAATAGTAAAATAAAATATTTTATGCTAACAAACTGAAACAGACCATATTTCTAAATGCCAATTCTGTAAGTAATAACAGTTTCTTTTAAATACTGGGGAAACAGTAGGACAGATTATAGTTCTTATGTTCTTCTTTCTGGCTTTCCTTAAGCAATTCTTTGACCATTGTATAAAATAGGGTAGACCAGACTAGTCAGACCCAATGCAAAAGAGTCCCTCCAATCTTAAGGGAAGGCCAATGGCTAGAAAAGAGATGCATACAAGCCTGAATCTACGTTTCCAGCCAATGTATAAAAAAAATAATTTTCTGGCTTACTGTTATTCTTTATGAATTATAACTATGACCATCTCACACATATTTTACAAATCTTCATTTTGGGAATAGAGCATCTTCACCCACCTTTTCCAAAAGTACCTAATCTCTATTGAGGTTTCCTCCAGGATAGTCCTGGCAGATTTAATAGCATCATTCCTTACTGACCAGGCTGGAAGCAGAAGACATAGCAGCGTAGTCTTAAACCGCTCAGGGACTGGGAGGTATATTGGAAGCAGCGAATTTTGTAATGCAGCAGCTTGCTCTTTCTCTCCAACTTTTTCTTGGAGGAGGAGATCAGGCAAAATAGGCTGTCTGTGTTTGATCCATGTTGTAGACTAAAACAACCAAATTACAAATAATGTACAGGTTGGAGATAGTTTAGCCTTTTTTATGACTATGACTCTTTTGGGCTAAATATACAGTCTCCTATGGGGTTACTTGATTGGTTAAACTGACCCCTTTTTGGTATTCAAACACATTGCCCTTTCCACATTGATTGGTTACAGGAACAGGGCCATTATGTCTGTTCTGCTTTATGAAATAAACATTTACATATACTAAAACAAACAAACAAAACATCTGAACTCAGCATTAAAAAATTATAAACTTTTGCCATATATTACTAAACAATTTTATCACCCAGTTGTGAATTGTTAGCAGATAATAGAAGAAAATTATAGCTATATAGCTCTTTCCTGGTTCCTGGATAGATGTGTGCTGTTGTTTCAGCTGCTCCTATCTATCAGTTAGTCCCATTTCTATTGGTAGCATTCTGTGGTAACTGCCTAATTCCAGTTCCTACTCATTCTTATTTCCTTTCTACGTAAATTCTTATTTCCTGATTAAATGCTAAATTCCCAGTAACAGAACTCAACGTAGTTTTTTGGCTTATTTATACACATCAGTTTCTAAGAAATTCTTGATGCCTTGAATCATGCTGAGAGTATATTTAGATCTAAATTTAATTTAGCTCCTTAAACTATATGAGACAAAAATGTGATGCAGTTACAATTTGGACAAATAGTAGTTAAGTTTCCCTGAATAACATCACTGTATGCAACATCCTGGAAATAACTCTGTAACTCTAACTTCTGCAGGTTTCCACCATTGAGACTGAAATGTTCCATACCCAACAAAAGACTTCTGTCAGGAAAAATTATTTTGCGCCAGAAATTGAAAAAGCAAATCAGTACTTAGGTCTTGATTGAAACCATTCCTGCTTCAAAACACAGCACTGCATCTGATATGCAACAAGGCATGGAAAAGATGTCTATTAAAATTTAGATTATAGAATCTCCAGGGGGTCCTTATATGAACAGATTTGTGAGCTGTGTATCAACTAGATTACAACTTTGGCATTACAGACTTTTCAGGCTGCTGGAATATACTATAATTTCCCCCCTTTGTACATAAAACCCCGTATTTTGGCATATTTCTTGATTAAATTAATTTGTATACTCCAAGAACCTGTTACTTGCAAAACTACACTCAGGTATTTATAAAGTTTAATTTGTTCAGCTTTAATGCAGCAGTTATATGTACTTAAACTTCAAGCATGTCTTCTGAAATATAATAATCTTAGCCTTCGGGTAATTTGTACTGAGACTTTCTTCCTCTGACAGACTGGTGTCTTCTGTTTTGCAAGACACGTGTCATAGTCTATGGTGGAAATCTTTATTACAGAATTTAGACGGCTATCGCTTCTTGGCCCAATTTTGAATCCCTTTGGGGGTAGATAAACTAAATAATTTTCTGTACAAAGAAGGATATACAGCAGCAAAACTATTTGAATCTGATGCTTTTTTAAAAGGAATTTTTCATGAAAATAAGAGCTGTACTCCAATGCATTATCTATTTAGCTTGCTATAAAAACTACTAGACTAATCTTTAGCTTGGCTTGATATAATTCCTAGCCATTGATTGTTTTGGAAGGTGGAATGGCAATGTCCAAGTAAGTCAGACATGTGCTCTTGCATTGTCCCTTATAAAAAGAAATTGGACGGATCACATAAGTCCAATTTAAGACAATGGAAGGTCAGTATGTAGTTTATCTACTTTCTGATCAAGAGTGACAGCATTACAAAGTAAGTTGCTAGTTTCTTTGCTAATTCAGTAACCCTTTGGTGCTATAAGTTTCAGCTGGCTAAAGGGAATAATTGCTTTTGTACTCACTAAGTGGTATTATTCTGGTTGATTGTGTCTTCTTATAGAGGTATGTGTGGTTAATGTCAGCTACTATAAAGTATCAATTTAATTACCAGATATTTAGCCAAGTATCAATTAGATAATCCATATGAGATCGACAAAAAACAGTATACTACAATATGAAGTACAATGAAAAAAATTAAGGAACTTTTTAATATGAGATTTAGAATTTTTAAGCTGCTTCTCTTTTAATTTCATAACACATGTTCATGTGTTCATGCATATGGGAAGCTAGAGAAGCACTTATAATACAAACAAGTATTCTGACCACTTAATTTTATACTCATTTTGTAAATGCTCTAATAGTAACAATGTTAATTGCTATTAAATATCCACATGGATTAAAAATAAAAAAGACAAATGTAAAAAAAAAAAAAATTCCTAACAGCTCATCAGTGGAAAAGATTGTCCAGAAAATGTAAAGATCTTTTCTGGAGATTTTAAGAAGTGTCAGAATATACATGATTAAGATTCAGTTTAACATGGGAATTCTGCTCCTGCTGATGACTGAACAGGATAATCAATTATATTTCTTCCAAGCAAATCTTGGTTTACTATTGAATAGATCTTAGCTTAACTTCATCATCTAATTCAAATCTTCAAAACTACTAACAGGGATGGAATTGCTTCTCTGGATTTTCTACCAATAAAACAGTAACAATACATCAAATGTTAAATAGATTTCTATTCAAAGGGACCTCTTCTTCTCTTCTACTCGTGCATCCTATTCTGTTCTGCAAATCTGCTCTGATGGGTTCCACACCTTTTCAGAACAGATGTGTGGAGATCAGCAAGGAGGTCGGAGAAATCTTTGTTAGTGGTGGATTTTTCCTTTAGCAGACACAGCTAAATATAATCCACAGTCCTATACCTAGATTATCCAAGTAAAGATAATAAAGTTGATGAACTCTGTTCTCCAATACAATAGAAAAAATTAGAGAAACAAGTGACTTGAACACAACAAACTATAGCAGTTATAGATTGCTCAGATTATGACATTCAGAAAATTTGAGGTTATTTTTGCTCATGCTCTCTCTGCAGTCTTACATTGTAAAAATATTTTTTACAAACAGGGACTTAGTACCTAAAAAATTTGTCGATAGCAATTAGCAACACAACATTTCTCAATGCTACAAATATTTCCTAAATACTTTTTTGTGTTATGTGTGCTCTGACCCTTCTCAAATGGTCTGAACTAAGTCTCAAAAGGCACCTTCTCTGGAAGGAGAAAGCATGATTCACTTCAATTACCTCATAGACCAAACTCAGTACTAAACAAAAAAATCCTTAAGGGTTATTCACATCATCCTAGGTAATTTCATCATTAATAGTTCAATCCCATTCAACAGTTTCCCATCAATTTCTTATTCTGATGTACCTGAATATAACAGCTAGATCATTAATGCCATTCTCTCACCTCACCTACTCCTCCCAACTACTTCTCAGATAAGTGTCTATGTGGAAATTCACATGTACTGCCAAGACTACCGTCTCTGATACCAGTAAAATACCAGGTAGATCTCACAACTTTTTCATTTTCTCATTCCCTTGCCATTAATAAAGCAGAGGTGAAAATACTACAACTGCTGCAAATTCACTATTCATTCTGATGAGTTTAAAATATACATCTTAATGCAAAGTATTATTTGAAACTAAATCCTACTAGGATATTCATGTTTATTATGCAAATAAAAAAATATATTTCAAAATGAGAGAATATAAAGAAAACCAAACAATACTCTAGCAACTCTTCTTGTGAAAGTTCTTCAAGTCTTTGTTCACTAGTCACCATGGCCAATTCATTTTTTAACTCCTGGATTTCCTTCTTCAGACGAATAATCATCTGGAAATATAAAATGGGTCACACTGATTAACAGTGAATATGTGATCTAGAAGTTAGGTGATGTTCTTTTCTATTTATACCAAATTGCTAATTTTTATATTTGCCTTCCCCCCAGCCCCCATCCTTACATTTTTTCTCTTTCTTTTATGAAAATTATATAGCCCTGTGAATTTAAATAATGGTATACTTTGGAAAAATGAAGGAGCATGATTTGGGGGAAGAGAAATTCCTCTCAGAGATAGTGAATACTGGACAACTAAGATTCAATTCTTTATAGGTTTAGCACTTTGAATTTGTATTCATAGTAGTTCTGGATTATGGGCAATATATTTCCACCATCTTTATTCTCTAAGGAGGCAATCTTTTGAATATGTATCTAGAAAAAAAATTCTATTGAATCTACAAGAGATTACTTTCAAGTCAGATTGCATATAGCTGCACTGTAGAACTTCAAAATGTGAAAACAAACTGGTTCCTTAATATTAGTGATTGAAAATATTCTGTATTAGATTGCTTGGTACATTAATGAAAATATTTAGTTATTGTTAATAATAATAGTACAATTTAGTTATTGTTAATTACAATAATGCTATTATTTATAGTATTACTCTATGTCAATAATGTACTAAATGAATTCATATCAAAAGCAGTTTATAGAAGAAATTCAAAATTAACCATATAGTTTGAACATATTTAATTGGAAGATTTTGTTGGTTTCATCTGCTTGTCACTACTATAATAGTTTCATCTCTAAAACGTAACTCAGATTACTAAAAATCAAATCAAGGGAGAAATCCCATCTGAATTGGGTAGAGATCAGAATTAGGATATACTCCTTGATCCCAGCTGTCTACATGTTGGGGATTATTAGCAAAACTAAGGCTAAAATAAAGTATACTCATTGCTAAAGATGTCAGTCCAGTCATTCTCACACAGAACTCATCCCACTTAGATTACTACAATATGTGCTACATTCAGGGACACCTGTTTTCTAAGCATTAAAGCAGCCATATCCTTTGCAAGCCTCACATAGCTGCTCTGAAGGCTGTCCCCACATGTCTGTGGGGTCCCCCCATTCTTCTGATATTAAAATAAATAACCACTGGGGCTATGCATAGACATGCATACAAAAATAGAGGGCACAGTTTTTAAAGAAACCACATGAGCCTTGCAAAGGGGTGCTTTAACATTTTGAAAAGATGTGCATCTATAGTAAAATGCTGGATGAAACATCTCTTTCAAGTGGTTTGTACAGCCATATGACAGTTAATTTCATTGCTAAAACTTTATGACTTTATGAAAAGGAAAAGGAATTGATGAGTGCTCTTGGTCTTGAGAAACATGAGATGTAAATCTTTCTAAAACTAAGCAAGTTTGCTTGCATAGTGTTGGATGGGAGACTTTCTGGAAACACTATGTATGTTGCATCATGTAACATTTTTAATTGCTTATGATAAATAGGCCTCTATCATCATATGCAAGAGATACAATG